AAGAGATCAAATTATCGGTGGGGACACGTCCCTTCCGTCCACGCCAAATCTACGCCCTTGTAGCGTCTCACCTGCAAACATGAAGGTGTTGGCTTCAGCTTGTATCTCCTCATCTGTTAGGCCTTGTCCATCTTCGTCCTTCAACACAGACATCAGTAACACTGATAAAGTCCCAAAAATGCAATAAGTTTTTAGATTTTCTCCTTCCCTTCACTTTTTAAATCTACCTTTAACTATTTACTCACTCTGAGACCAACTTCAATTTAGCCCCTACACCATTTCGCTAAGGTTGCACGTATGTTTGACATGAATTGCTCCAGTGCCTGTGGACTTTACTTGGAGTGGGATATAAAGCTGTGTAATGCTAAATAAGCACTAATACAGGCTTATTCAATACACTGTGAAAGTGGATGTCTTATGTCTTATATAAGCAAAACTAAACACACATCAGTTCCATGTGATCATTTCAGAACTGATCAAATTAACGGCTCTGGAAGTGGATTATCATCCCTTCTTGTTTGTTTTATTATTACTACTATGATGCTCCTCCTCTGTCCTACCCTTGTCAGCAGCAGAATGTCCACGAAATCTTTCCTCCTCTGTGACGTCGGGGCAACTCCACATTGTGCTTTCAGAATGGCACGTCGCTTCTGAACCACATCTCTGCTGAATCTGCGAACCAGAATACAGCAGACTAAAATTAATGATCCCTGCAGCTTCCTACATAACTTGGCTACACAAATATCAGAAGGTCAGAGCATTACCTGTGTACAACATTTAAGGTTTGTTTGAACAGTTTCCCCTGCTGAGTCTTCCAGTAAATCCAGTCCCAATGATGTAACATGTTGTGTTGCCGCTGTCCTACCAGGTCACAGAGCTGCACTATGGCTGACACGTACTCACTGGGAGACCTGGGGGGACAATTTTCTTAGGAACACCACGACAAAAAAACAAAACAAACAGAAGATATCAGTTGAAGTAAGTGGCTGATCTCACTCCTGACAGTTGCTGTCGTAGCTGAAGGCACATTTCAGTAAACTGTCCAGAGTCATCAGACTGACGTGGTCAAACATCTCCAGATTAGTTTTGCCTTCTGCTACAAGTCGACACCACTTGTCCTGAAAACAGAAACAAGAAGCAACTTCAAGCAGCTGAACTCTGGCTTAGGCTCAGATGGAGATGTGGGAGGAGAAAGCAGTGGAGAAGGCAGATTAGAGGAGGAGGAGAAAAATATAATTCTACAAATCTTACAGGCACATTTAGTTTAAAAGAGCTTTTTTTGGCATAATTGAAAACTAATTCATAGTAGTTTGTAAGCTATATTTGGGTGTTTAGAACGTTAATCAGATTCTTTATTTCAGAATTCTCAGGAATCTGGAATATTGTAACAGACTTCTATTGATGTTTTAAAATAGATTTTCTCCTTCGCACTGTCATAAAATGCTTGCTCATAGGAAGTTGGTTGATTGTTGGAGTTTTCTTCAAGTCCGTATGTCACGGCTGGGTCAGTTGTTTTCTCTCTTCCTTCTAGCATCTTAAAGTCAAGCCATGCTGGTACTATCCTACTCCTTTGGGGTGGAGTTCCATGGTTTCCCACACTTTAGCCACCGCACCTGTTGACCATCTGACTCATCTAAAGGTTATGCGCTATAGTCTGTCAGTATGCTGCTCAATACTTGCATTCTACCTGGATCGTCCTGCATTAACCACCTGCTTGCTCACCCTGCCATGGCTGCCGCCTTGTGGACACAACCAGCATGCAAACGCTTCCTCTGGAAAACTCTCCCTCATACTCCAAGGCACGATCTGATATCCTCGTGTTGGTGTTGTTCCCAGATCATCATACTAAAAGTTACTCCAGGATCAACATTGCAAGTGACCAATCAGAATGTTGTGATGTCATACTTTTGCGACTTCGGGAAAAACCGGCGTAAAACAAAAAACTGTACTTAAGCTGC